TTTGGGAAAATGAGTCGGGAATTCCCATAAAACTATGACCTTAATGTTAATTGTTAACCTCCTTATTGTGAATTAAAGTGTCGCTATTCCCGTCTTATTACCACTACAAATGATTTGGTATTTTACAACATATTTCCACTTAAAATCCAATAATTTATAAAAATCTATTCAACAATCAAATGAAAAAAAGTAAATTCGTTGGAAAATGAAATGCAATTAAAAACTTCTAAACTTTCCAAATATTACATTTTAAAAGTAAAATAAAGAAATCACTTTAGATTTAGTGCCAAATGTATTACTATTACAATAACATCATTGAAAGCAATCATTATTTAATTGTCACCACATTTTCAGTTCCGGTTTCATCACATATTCACACAACTCTTCATTTTATTACTTCAATTGACAATCAATTTGTGTCTCAAATGACAAACAATAAGTGCCTAATGACTAGAAATGTAATGATAATTGCTATTCAGGTTTTACAAAGTTCATTTTGAATACATACATAACTCGTATAATGACGAGAAAAATTAATTAATTAATTGCAATATTATTTAATTAACAAATTCTTTATCAAAAAATAAATGTTTTAATTGTTTCAAACTTTTGAAAAGTTTCAATAAATATATAATTGTCTAAAAGATTGAGACAAATAAATGATTAGTGCTTTGATCACAACTACACTCGTGTCCATACATTTCAAATTACTTAATCATTAATTCAATTAATTATAATTCAATCTAAATTGCATTTTAACAGTGAAATCGTGTGAACCCCTCCCCCTCTAAATCAGTACATACTTTACGTTCAACTCATCGGTGAATGCAATTGAATGAACCATTGATTGCCATCTTTTGTCTCCATTAATGACTGATAAGTAAATATTAGTGTTGAATGTTTGCGAAGGTTTAGTACTATTTATGGCAACAATAATACAGCGATATCTATATGTGTATTGCGTGTGAAAAGGGGTGCAAATGGTTGAGAGAAATAGACATTCATATCACAACACCATATGATATGACGTATTATTTATAGCAAAACAGCGATTGTTTAGTCAATTGAAAGCAATCGTCGACTCAATTGTCTCCCAATTGTCACTCCATTTGAGTGTCACTCGTGTTGAGAGTCTTCGCCAATCACTTCTCGATTGTCACTCAAAGACAGAGCAAAACGACATGTCTTTCGCCAAACCATCGGAAGAGAGGACACCACTAATCGGTGGCGACTTCTACTCAGTCTCGGGACCCAATGGACCGAACGCCTCGTCCGGAGCGTCCACTTCATCGGCCGCCGCATACTCTGCACCCAACGGACACTTCCCCACCACTGGTGAGCATCTGATGGTGTGATTGAGCGATGAGTTGATGGCATTTGTATGTTGTGTTCGCAGCGAACGGATCGCCGTATAACGAGTCGTACGTAACGGTGCCGTCGATAGGACCGGACGAACTGCCGCCGCCCTATACGGCCGTCACCGGCGGTCTCCCAGTGATGGTCGCCTGTCGTGTCTGCGGCTCAATGATCGACATCACCGGCAAACGGGAGCAGCACGTCGTCAAGTGTGACAACTGTAACGAAGCGACGGTCAGATTGTTATCATTTCTATTCAATGAATGTCTCATTATTTGAATGAGTTTTTGTTTGTCTTAACAGCCGATCAAAAGCGCTCCGACGGGCAAGAAGTACGTGCGCTGTCCGTGTAATTGTCTACTCGTCTGCAAAGCCAGTGCTCAACGAATAGCGTGTCCGCGACCGCAATGGTTGGCCACACAATCATAGCCTTTGTTTTTGTTTGTATTGACAACTAATGTGTTTTTGTATTGTTTGTGTTTAACAGCAAACGAATAATCAATTTGTCGGTGAATCAAGTGGTGATGAACACGACTAACCCGTCGTCGATGGCACCGGTGCCGGGCATGTGTCGAGTGATCTGCGGTCACTGTCACGAGTCATTCCTATTCAATACCCTGCAGAACAACTTAGCCCGTTGTCCGCATTGCCGTAAACTGTCGTCTGTTGGCCGAGAGTTTGCCCGAACCCGAGGTGTGGTGTTCTTGATCTTTGGGTCCATTTTCTTGTTGGTGTCATTGGCTGTGCTTTTTGGCACTCTATCGATGGTAAGGAATGGATCCCGAGGTCTGATAGCATTAGACGTTATTTTATCGTTAATATGTTTTCTACTGATTGTTCGATCCATTCATTACTTAACGATGAAAACCAGTCTTATTGACAGTAACTCTAATTAACTATTAATGCAATTATCATTGCATTCATTCAATCTATACATTCAATACAATTCAATATTATTTGCTTTTTATTTTATATACAATAAATATGTTATATATTATATAATACTGTATATCTAGTATAGAATTGCTTACAAATAGGTTTGGTTTTTATTTACTGACTGTCAGTCATTGCGTTAAACGAGTCTAAAGTAAAATTGTTTTATTGAATTAAAACTCATTAACGTGTTTACGAATGTATTTTTTGGTTAATATATTTTTATAGTTTTATCACAACAATTGTTTACTCAATATTGTTGACTATTTTATTTTGAACAACAATAATAACCAAAAACATAATGAGTTTTTATAGAATTAATAATTAATTCAAATAAAAGATGATTTGGATTCAAATACTTGTTTAATTGATTAGATCTGAAATTTGATTCCGTTATCAGTAATACAGTATTGAGTGCTCTGTCTATACAATAATCAGCACTCGTATTGTAAGAGTGTATTGGCTTTAGTTCATCACAAAAGTGCCACAACTTATGTCTTATATAAACATTATCTAAATTTAAATTAATTCATTAAATGATTATTTGATAGGATATTATTTGATTTCATATAAATCATAGTTTTATGACTTTTATATTGTTGTCAACCATTTATTGAATTCTTGTCTCTATTTTATCAAATATTTTATTACCATATGTTTAAATATCGATTGATTTTCTCTCAAAACGAGATTTAAATTTCATGAAAACTAATTTTCAATTAATGTTTTAACTAATGTATTGGCAAATAAATTCAAATAAATACTCTAAAAGTAGTTTTAATAAGTTTTATCATTTTAAGTGATTTTTTCATTCATTCAATTAAACAACAAACCAGAGGTAAAACAATGTTTCTATTGATTTCAATATAGAGCTTAAATATAATTTAATTATAAATATATTTTACATAAACCGTAAACATTTTTGTACAATTACTCAACAAATTATTTCTCTGTTTTTATATTACATTAAATGTAAAATTAACTAATTTTTATTTAATTCATTAAAAACTAGAAAACAGTTAAAAAAGTAATTATAAATTTAATTGTAATATTAGGAGAGAATTGAGTGTTAGATGTGTTTATGGGGTTTCTTAATGAAACCAATTTGTCTCAGTTTGCGGACCACAATAGGGGTGAGAGCAACGGTGGCGCCGATGCGGACGGGCATAACCATCTTGTGTATAGCGTAGGCCACGGCGAAAGTGCCCGAACCTGTCATCACTTTAGTCACTGTCTCTCCAAACATATCCATCGGTATATACTGTGAGACATCGACTCCGAAGTATATAATGGTATAGAAAAAGGACAGCGATGTCAACGATAGCATGATATGCAGGATAACGGCTGTCGACCCGTAGTTTGAGATAATCCTCTTGAGTCTCTCGGTGTGGGTCAGGACGGGCTCGTCGTCCACGAAGGATAGCTTCTTGGGCTCCATCTTTGGTCCGCTTTTTCTCTTGCCGTCGCTGTAATGCCTGACAGACACGAGTGTGGGATGTGTTGGGATGTCGTGTCTTATGGGTCTATGCGTTGATAATAGGTTTGAATGAGTGAATCGATTGGTGACGACAATCAACGCCGATCTCCAGTAAGTCTTTGTGGCGTTGAATGTGTGGTAAGTGTTAATGGATAGCATTGTGACGAGTCGTTGACGACAACCAACTGATGATAACTGTGTTTGTGATGATAGCGATGGGAAGGACGACAACACTTCACGTCATCCACTCTTTGCCACTCATTAGATGTCTCTCGTCTTCAAATCAGTTGAGAAGTGGACGAGAATTTGTGGCAAATCTCACAGAATTGGCTCATATTTTGTCATTTACTTCACTATTAAATGTTTTATTTTGAAAACACTTTACAAAAGGCGTTACAAATGTGTTTAAAGTGACTATATTTTGGTTATTAAAAGTTATAATGATTTGAATAAATGATTTTAATTGATTGTTTGAATCGACATATGGTATCAAAATGTGTGATATTTATTTCATTCACACTTTATTTGTTCAATATTTGATACGAACATTAATTTTAAATACTTTGAGAAATATTATATTGGGTATTAAATTGGGTTTACATGTAGTAATTTTATTATATTTATTAATTAATAAAAAGTTTACATATTTATTATTTAAATCTACAAAATATAGTATCAGAAAAAAGTATAACTCTTATTGAATGAAAACTCTTATTATTTTAAAATGTTTGTAGAGGAATTTTCTAAAAATACCGAAATGCTCATGGTGTAATCTGAAGTGAAAAATCAAATGACATTTATCTTTGTAAAACGTATTGAAGAATTTCTATTGATTATAATGATTCCTATAGCGAGAAATGTTCCTAATTTTCAGAAAATTTCTTTTACCTACAAATTGAGACACTTTTCAAATTAATATTATTTACTCTCAATAAAATCAATTCCTTTATACCTATCAGTGATTTATTGAATCAATTTTAGTTTTAATTTAATTGAAATATTTATAGATAGTATTCAAACTATTCGTTACTTATCATGTAATTTATCATAATTGGTATTCATTGGGATTCACTTACAAAGAGTATGTCTGATCTATAGGCGATAATTGTGTCTCGCAATCGCTATATGAGAATATTTTATGATTTTATCTATTATTAAAAGTGGTTTTAATTGCATTAAATATCCAATGAGTTAATCGATATCATTAAAGAGCAATGGATTGAGACGTGTTTTCTATGACACACTAATTGAATGAAAAGAGATTTTTTGGTTGATTTGGGAATTAGTTTAATGGAAAGACAGTCAGAGGAAAGTGGATGACAATCAAGGATTTGCTACAAGACTTGTCTCATGACATTTAAATTAATTCATTTAGATTTGTCCCCAAAAACCATTACAAATATGGAAAATATTTGACAATTAATTGAAAGTTTGTTTCAAAATTGCGGACAAAATGATGACAAATATACTACAATGACTGTAATGACTGATAGAATATCATAGAATTATAACATTTGTTCACAAATACTATTGCAATAAAACTTATAAACAAACGTTTAAAGTAAATCAAGTCATTTTAAAATTAGTCTACCATAATTTAAATATAATTTCATAATTATAAATAATTAAAAAGTAATAAAATAATAATTTGTTACCGAAAGCTACTGTAAATTATCAGTAATGATTATATTTTACAAAATTAATTTAATATCTCAAAAATATAACTTCCAATAAAATAAAAGTCTATTAATTTGGAAATAGTTATTAATAAATATTTCAAACAATAAATACTAAATATATGAAAATTTTTGAACAATTTTCATGAAATGATATTCAATCAACAAATTTTTACAACGATTTTATAGAAGTTTGTTTAATTATAATAATACTTTTAATAAATGGTATTTTTATAAATAGTTTATAACAGCACTTTTGATGATTGAAGTGATGGTCTATAGACTTGTGTTTTACATAAGAAGATTGATTTTTGATTAAATTCACGATATGGATGATTGATTTAAATTAAAAACCTTAACAATTAATGATTAACTAACTTATTATTGGATATTTATAATTAAGTTATAGCTAACGGGGCGATGGTTTGCGTGATATAACAATACCCGTCCCTTAAATCACTTAACCATATGTTTAGCCGCAATTTGGGTCACATTTGAGTCATTACAAGAGATTTTTAATGATAAAAATGCAAAAATATTGTTGAATATAAGCACAAAACGTAGGATTAGGGGTGAGATGTGATTGAGATTTACCGTTGAATTGCATAAGATTTAAGGAAAAAATATAATTATCCGAAGAAAAAAAAGATTTAGTTATCTATATATTGTATAAATTGCTGCGAGAAATGAAAACTTGCTTTCAATGCTTTGCAACACTTTTTCTGCTGTTTAATACTTAAAGCTTTTTTGATCAGAAAAGAAGGCTTTCATTTAATTCTGTGTATTTGTACTGATGCTGGAAATCGTGAGTTTCGCCCAAAACGCTGGCATCGGTGCCAAACATATACAGCCAATACATATACAGCACAATATGTATTCCTTGCGGGCATTGAGAAAAGTTTTCATGTTTTAGTTTTTTGAGACCTCACCCAAAATCATGCCCGAAGCCATGAACACAGCTATAGATATAAAATGTTGAGCAGTTTTTTAAGCCCAGAATACAATGCAATGTAGAGTGAAGTCTGTTTTGTTAGAGCAATACATTACGTTCAATGTATGTGTATATGTATTGGTATGCCTTTCGGCACAAATCTAATTCACTATTATTCCAATGGATTACTAAAAGCTTCTATTCCTCTATTTTCTGCCCACAGATTCCGTGCACTAAATCATTGCAAACCTCAGACCTAACCTATCATAGCGTCGCCAACACAACAACAATACACATACAGTACATAACACCATAATATTGCACCAGAATTGCAATCAAAGCCCCATTTAATTTGATTTAAACTTCTTGACATATTTTCTAACCATTACTGTTACAGTTGTGTTCTTAAATTCCTCTCTCTCTCTCTCTCTCTCCCTCCCTTCTGTTACATAACAAAAGTTTTCTAAAAAGTTTTGT